GCTTCTGCACAGCAAAAGAAACTACCATCAGAGTGAACAGGCAACCTACAGAATGGGAGAAAATTTTTGCAATCTACTCATCTGACAAAGAGTTAATATCCAGAACCTACAAAGAACTCAAACAAATTTACATGGAGCTAGGTTTGACTAGAGAAGAGGAGGATGACTCAGGACACAGAGGGCAGCCATCCTTCAAGAAGCCAAAGCATGGGCAGGGACAGTTCCCTTCCACAGCTGCTCAAAGGGAAAGGTTGTTCAGGCCTCTAAAAATGGAGTGGAGCACAAAGGAAACATCGAACTCAGAAGGTCATCCTCATAGTTAATTTATTTTTGTGGGAGGCAATTTAACTTCCACTAGGCTACAACAAGAGTCTGCAGAAGTGGCTATGGTTTATGCCAAATGCAGAATAAGCAGGAATAGAAAGGGTATTGGGAAAGATACAATGCAATCTAGATGCTGGACCTATTTTAGTTGTGGAACCTTGGAAGGTCATTTAAATTCCCTGAAACTTAGTACCTGCATTTGCTGAAGGGTGACAAAATCACTCTCCTACTTTCCTCATAAGATTCTTCTGCATGTTAAGTGAAAAAACATGTATATAAGAGTTCTTTGCAAACTTTAGAGTAATTCATAATTATTGGCTCATTGCTGGGGCTGTATCACTTCAAGGAGTTGGATTTTCTGAAGTGCTTTAGAAGTTTTCAAAGGAGGTTGTATGTTCTCTGTATTCATGGTGTCCCCAAAGACTTACCTTCCTTCACTCGCCTGAAAATAAAATATTTCTAGAGTTTTCCATTGTACTTGGCACATTGAATTTATCGGTCTTGACTGTTATTATTTCTTTTCATGTTTTGCATCTCCCTAGATAAAGTATGAGCTCCTGAAGAATAGAGACTTTAAAAATTACTTTCCATACATGTGCTAGCACCACCACAGTACCTGGCACATAGTAGGATCTCAATAAACATTTGTTGAATTAATGCACAAATGAATGAATGACATCGGTGGAAAACCCACATAGACATAATTTTTAAAATATTCCCTAGGATTCAGGAGGTAGTTCAGAGCAATAAATAAAGCTAATCAAAGTCGATTTTTTCTGGATCTTTGGTAGTTATTAGAGTCGTTTGCAGATGCCATTTCTCTTGCTCTGAGCATATGGTAGGATTGCAGTTTTCCACCCACTTGAGCTCAGGTACTGCCTTGTGATTTGCTTCGACTGATCAAATGTGAACAGAAGTGACTTGTGCCGTTTCCAGGCAGAAGCTTTCATTGTCCTTTCATACTTTAACACACTCATTCTTTCTCCTGAGTGACCAGCATCATTTCAGATAGAAGCTGCTGCACTGGCCCAATTACTGGTGTGAGTAATGCATGGTAGAGCTAAAGCTAGCACATGATGGATAATTGTGTAGAAAACAAGACACCTGTGTTATTAGAAGCCACTGAGGTTTCTTTTTGTTACTGCAGCATGTTCTGGCCTATCCTAACATCCAGGATACCCTTTGTGCATCATGATATCAAGATGGATGATTTTTTCATTAGCCAGATGCACCTTCTAAATTCTCACCCTTGCTTCCCCAGTAGCTCCAGGTAAACAACCACCTGGCTAAGTCTTAACTTTCTTGTCCAGAAAACAAATATGACTATTAATTTTCTAAGGGAGAAAAAGACAAAATATTAATGAAAGGTCACCCCAAAAGGATTCACACCACCATCTAAAAAAATGGAGCCAAGTCAAGGTAGGAATTCTCATTTCAGAGTCTTTTCAAGTGGAGGGGAAGAGGACAGAAATGAATATTTATTGAGTGCCCTCTTTAAAAATCAGCTGGTGCCTCTAAAACACTTAGCACGGTACCTAGTATGGAGAAAGCACCTAACAAGTTGTAGCTCTTTGCTTGTCCTTAATACATTCACTGGCCTAAGTGCATTCACATATATGCCATCACTTTAGAGGCACAAAGCAGAGTGGCTAAAAGCCCAGACTTTGGAGCCTTCTGAAAGGTTCAAATCCTAGTTCCAATTAATACAATTTTTAATTCTGTGACTTTATGCAACCTATCATTCCACTTTGCCTCCTATGTGTCATCCATAAAATGGGGATAATATCCTAGGAAGGAAACATCATTATCTTTATTTAGCAATAAATGAAACTAATACTGACACATCATTCCCATATGTGACCAATATCTAAAATCTCTCCCCTGTGTGAGTAGCAAAAGTCTGCAATGAAGTTTTGTGGGTGGGAGATGTAGAGAGAAGATTGTAAACATCAAGAGCAACACTGATTTGCACAAATCTGTGTAGATCTTCCTCTTCTGCATCCATAAAGTTTACTGTGTATTTGACTATTTGAGCCATCAAAATCCTAACATCGAATGTGTCCTTGGGGGAAAAAATCAAAGATGTTACCTTTCTGCCAAGATAAACTGAGCTCAAGGAAATTTGCAGTCTAGCTTTTCTTCTGTAATTTTAAGTCATCAGGAGTTGGAATTTAGAAAGCATGAGCTTAATGAGAATAATGTTAACAATAAAAACAATAAAAAATGAGTACCTACTATGTTAAGCACTGAGTGCTTTTCGTGCTTTACTAAGGGCTAAGGGCTTTACTAGGATGTATCATTTACTCTTTAAAAATCTCTGGAGCAGGCATTTCGGGTGTGTGTGTGTGTGTGTGTTTCTGACTATCCAGAATTTATTTAGCAGTGCGGGTTTATCTCTTCTCCACATTCTGTCCAAAAAGTTCCATGTGAACTTAGTATACCCTCAGTAAAAGATGTGGCATATGACCCCAGATCAGCAAGTCAGAGCACTACTTTTCCCCTGAAGACAGTGATTGGTTCATAGATGAGCACATAATCCAAGGTAGGATAACTAACTAAACTACCTAAACTAAATCTGGAGCTTTTGGCTTAAGTTATTAGGAAAAGGCAGGCTCTCCTGTGGAATTTAGAGTCGCAAAAATCAGAGGCTGGAGTTTCTGTAGCCATCTTGTTACCACGAAGGGAAAGCCTGTCTAGGAAAAGTGTTAAATCAGAGGAAGTAGAGATAATTGATAAGGATAGAAAAATCACATCCTGGTGACATTTTTGGAGATCCTGCAACACGTCCCAGAAGCAAACTCTGTCTCTAGGCTTTGTAATTTTTGAAAGACAGTCATTCAATTTTAGCTTAAGCCAATTTGATTTTTCTTCTACTTACAACTGAAAGAATTTCAGATGATGCAAACTTAAAGTTTTCCAAGGTTACACAGCAAAACGGGGCCATGGCTGAAATTTAAATCTGATTAACGGCAAAGCTCCTGCTCTAAGCTGTTATATAATGCTTGCTCTTCTATTATGTTTTGGGCCACTAGAATGAAAGGAAGGATGTGAATTATTGAACAAATGTAAGGGCTGAGTTGCGTATGGGGTGGGTCAGGGCAGTGGGGAACTACAAGTTACTTACTGAAAGGTAGTTTAAAAATTTTCTTGCTTTCAATAGTATCATTCTCTGATGATTTTCTTAATTGATGGAGGAGATTAGAGCTGGAAGACTTGAACACATAGTGCTCTAGGGAACTCTTTCTCCTATTCTGTGATGGCTTAGCACAGAACCTGGCAGCGCAGTGCACGCCAGTGAATGAGTGAATGAGTGAATGAATCAATATATAAACATGGGAGAAAGCCTGAAAAGAGAGCACACTTACTACTATTGGCTGCCTGAAGTAGTCATCCACTGCTGCACCCCGGAGACTGGACAGATTGACCCCATAGAAACATTGCTGGTAACTAAAATATCACAAAAAAATCACCATGCATCTTGTCTGTCATCTGAGTCCCCAGGGCCCACATAGCTGTTATGTGCTATAAGGCTGCCTCATGGGTCCTCTGCATTAGCCCTGCGGAGAATGTTTGCACATATGAAGGGCAGCTGGTCTATAGGGTGTGGCAGGAAATTCTCCCTAGAAAATTTGCAGACCTGTATTTGACATGCGGTTGGGAGAGAAAGAAGGGGAAAACAAGTTGAGTTGAAATAAATTGGGCTCATCCCTCTAATCCCAGCACTTTGGGAGGCTGAGGTGGGAGGATCACTTGAGCTCAGGAGTTCGAGACAAGCCTGGGAAACATGGTGAAACCTCATCTCTACTAAAATTACAAAATTAGCCATGCGTGGTGGCAGGTACCTATAGTCCCAGCTACTTGGGAGGCTGAGGCAGGAGAATTGCTTGAACCTGGGAGGCGGAGGTTGTAGTGAGCCCAGATCATGCCACCGCACCCCAGCATGGGTGACAGAGTGAGACTGTGTCTCTAAACAAGTAAATAAATTTGTAAGGAGATTATCAAGAAGGATATTTGGGGGTAGGAAG